ATAAAAAAATTTAAAGGATGTGTTGTTTTTTACTTTCTCGTATATACGAAGTATAGAGAAAGTATTGTAATCGTGCACACACATAACATGAAATTTTGACAGTTTTCACAGTTTTACTCCTCAGTCCTTCATCACATCCGGAGTATAGAGGACTAATCAGGCAAACATTATAAATACAAATATTTAAACGTTTTGGCGTTTTATGCGTTATCGAGTCGTAAAAACTGGACTTTGCAGTTCTGTTCGTATGTGTGTGTGTATATCTCTGTGTCTGTGTGTAAACACGATAACTTGAGTACCGTTAAAGCTAGGTTGATGAAATTTCATATATAAGTATTTTATTTAAATCGTAGATCCTGATAAACTTTTGAGCGATTTCCGATAACCGAAAGTGGTACTTTTTCTACTTTGAATTTTTCAAAAACCTTTAAGCTGCGTACTATTTTAGATAGTTGCATGAAATTTCAAACGTAAGTAAAAGATCTAATTCTCTACGTTCTGTCAAATTTAGTGTAATTTCCGTTTACCGGAAGTACTAATTTACGCTATTTCTGATTTCTCAAAAACGCATGTAAATTTATAAAGTACTAATAATATCCCGCACTTTTATACACATTTTATTAGGCGTTCACTTAATGTGGGACGGAGTGGTCTAGCGGTAGAGAGCTGGACTGCTAACCCGTTAGTCTCGAGTTCGAATCCGAGTTCAAGTCATCTGATGGGAACCTAACTCCTGTTAGGGAAAGTAAAGGCCGCTGGGCTTAGTGCTGACCACACTATCTCTTCATATGCTGAGGTCACTGAAACAAGAGAACTCTACTTCACTTGCCCCATAGACCGTCAGGTTTGAAAAGGAAACTTTTCACTTGTTGTGCAATTCTTTTTTTACGAGATTCTATTCTATTATAAAAAGTGTAAATAATTAAAAATGGATAACAAATATTGTCTTTGTCCTGAATTGCCATTCCTCGTAATTTTATATTAGAATATTCGAGAAAGTTTAGGGGAGATCACTCCCGGTTTATTTTAAATTAAAGATGTATCAATTAATTTAAGAAAACATGTATTAACTGCTCTATTGACATATTGTTAATAATTTAGGCCGGATTTATCAACGTTGCAATTTAATTATTAATAACATTACTACACGTATACCTTCGTAGATCTTTCTTCCCTAGTTTCCAAGTTCTGGTTAAAGATTTGAATCAGTTTGTCAATGGGCATCAATCTTTGTTGTAGGAGTTTGTACAATACATTTTGCTAAATATCAGATGATTATATAAAAGCATTTTAATTTTGATTATTTTTAATGCATATTATATCTTACATAAACATGTGTCTTAACATTAGTAATTATATTAAAGTATAACAGCTGATAAAGTTACTAAGTTCTTTTTTTATTTAACTTGGTTATAATAAACTATCTGGCGAGTATGTGTAAAAGTGTGAATACACATAATTATCAACGTTACCTTTTTTAATTGAGTTGATGTATTACACAAGATTTTATCACACTCCTCTTGTAGGGCAGCCATCAGATCCGAATGTCTTTTAATTTCTTGTGTTATACTGTTTGTTTTGTCTGCGTAATCTTGCATCTCTTTATTTATTTTGTGTTCGTTGTTTTCATATCCTTTCATATCTAGCGACAGTTTCTCTAGTGTTTTGTTTGACCTGGTTTCTTTTTCTTTTAAACTTTCAATTTCTTTGTTCAGCTCCTTTACTTTGTTATCTTGTTCACTCATTTGTTTTCTAAGGTTTTTAAAATTCTGCTTTTGTTTTTCAGTCAGTTGTTCAATGTTTACCCCCATGTCACTCTGTTCTGTTACAAAGTTGTCTCTCCATTGTTTCATTTCTGATATGTCATCTGTAGACTTGTGTTGTGTGTCCTGTAGTGAAGATAGTGTTGTTTCAATATAGGCGAGTCTACGCTCTAGTTCAGGATGTTCTTCAACTAAAAATAGTCGCAAGTATTCAGTATATAATTTAAAATGCCTGGAACCTTGAAAAATAGGTTCATTAAAACAGCGTTAAACTTAGAAACGTTAATATAAAATATTTAAAAAGTAGCAGAAAAAATAGTTTAATCTTTAACATTGCATGATATTTATTCATGATATCGCTATTTAATTTGTTATATCAAACAAAACTAAAACTTACCCGCGGTATGTTTGCCTTGTGTTTTGAATTGTCTTTGTGATTCTACTTTTAGAAATGTTGCTGTTGTCTGTGTGTCAGGCTGTGCTAAAGATGGCGTTGGTTTGTTGACATCCTTGTTGTCTCCTTCTGGTGGATTGGGGCTTAGAATTTTATTTTAGTTACAGTTCAAGGAAATAACTTTTAATTGTACATACAATATTTCTAGTATGCTGCAAAGTGTTTTAATTTTTACAATTTTTTTTTTCAAATTTAGACAATCAAATTTCATTGAAATCTTTATTCGCAAAAAATCTAATATCATCATTCTGTTAAATTTTCCAGGTCTAAATATTTACATACTAATTTATCGTAAATTGATTTACATACTAATTTTTTTTAAATTGAACTAAGAAGTGAATACCGAGTTTATAAATTGAAAGTATAACATAAAGTTTTAACCAAAGCGTTTAAAGAAAAATAATATAACATTCTATTAAGTTATTTTTATCTAATTATCTTTATGAATAAATTAAGTACGATAGTCGATTTTAAATTCTAAATGTTAATAATGTGTTTGTTTTTTCCTATCTGTCAATCTCTAAGAAAATAATATATTGTGTGATAGTGGATTGAGAGTGAAACTATATCCCTTAACAATAGTGTGTCCCATTTTTTAAAGGTAAATTGTAAGATTTTTTGCATTTTTCTCACACCAAACTTTTAGGCTACTTGACAGCAGGCTTAGAAATTTTAAATTATAAAGTGAATTAAAAAACTGACCAGAAATATGTGACGTCACATCCAACACGGCCGTGGCTGCTGTGTCCAGTTCTTGTGATAGCTCGATGTAGCTGACAGATGATTGGTCAGTTTTTTCTTCTAGCCACGCCTTACTTTTTGTAACAACCTTGTGATCACAAACGTAAACATTATTTCAACTGGCCACGTTTTGTATTGCTGTTTTATGAGAAAATGTCAAACGTTAAACACTTTCTACCGTATAAATGTTAATTTGTTGGTTTTCAAATATTAATTAGTATATTAAGTTAAAATCTATTAATATATATATATATATATATATATATATATATATATATATATATATATATATATATATATATATATATATATAATTTAATTAAGCTAGTTGGACAAGTGAATTTTACTTTTTGAAAATGTGTTTAGAAAAATAAAAGGAAAAAAGTTGTTATAACACAACAGCGTTACAATAATCTTTAAAAAAATTAGCAGTTGATTTTAGATGTTTTAATCTTACATTTTTCATTAAATTAATGACAGGTTCCAGAACTTGTATCTGTTCTTCCAAATATTGTATCTGTTTAGTAACAACCTTGACCTGAATTCGTGTAGGCATCTGGTTTAAAAATAGAATCTTCACTTATTACATTGTTTTGCTAGTCTCATAAGTCAATGTGATAGATAACAGAGGACAGAGACTTTTAGTTTAATGCCAATCCTTAGTCTCTTTTGCTTTGGACGGACTTGTAATAATTCATGTTTCATTGAACATAATTACACAGGTAAAATAAGAGTAGCATGATGTATAATCGTGTTTCGGTCGTTGATACAGAGAGACAAGTGCAAATATATGTAGATCTGCAGACGTAGCATACGCCGCTATCGACAGTACACCACCCCCTACATCCCACCTAAACCCACCCCGCCCAGTGAAAGCAGCCCCTTAATTTTAAATCATTTAATACTAAATTATCTGCCCCTAATAGCCGTCACTAACCCGGATCAACGATTGTAAACATTCGGAGTAAACTGGAGCTTACCAGACAGGTGGAGATTGAGGTGGTGGCTAAGCTGTGTGGTGTTTTCTATGGTCTCCATGAAGAGAATTATATATAGATATTATGATTTAAATACACATCTACATAGAAAAATGTAAAGTAATTTGTTTGGTTATTTTTAAGATTTTATCGGATCATTTTTCTTTATGGATACTTTATTTGAGGGGAGGGGCGTTGTCCAGAATTTTTTTCGCCAATATTTATAAGCAGATAGGACTGGTGTCCAAGTAGATACTTGAAGTGAGGATATTTTAGACGTGTTAACAATGTAAACAACTACCTCAGTTTGGTTGCCGCCTGTGTTTGAAACCATAAAATACATAACACTTTAACGACGTATCGAAACTTGTCAAATGTTGTCTACTTGGCTTAAACTGAAATGAAATTACAAACCATTCCATAAATAAAATGACAACAATCACATCGATAGTTTTACAAAACTTTCTTACACGAATATTATATTTTTAACGCAGTCATTACAGCTGTTACCCTCTCTACGAAACGCTATTTATTTTTTTCATTAAATAATTATCCATTACAGCTGTTTAACTATAAAAATAATGCTTTTCTATTTATATGTTACCTCATTAAAAGTAGAACGGCGAAACTAAAAGTTCTTAACGGAAAAATCCGCTATTAAAAATATATCTTCTACCAGGTTATAAAGATGGCGACAACAAAAGACACGTACTAGAGCAGCTGTCTTTCATTCAACTAAAACATTTAATTCGGGTAATACACTGTCTTATTATCTAATTATCTGTAGTGAGTGTCATGTTAATGCTTTTAAACTATCTCAAACGAAATAGAAATTAACGTACATTTTAAAATTATATAAAAAAATGTTACGCTTCATAAACATATTATATTTTTAATAAATAAAACATACACTTTATTACATTTTTCTTTGTTCATTGTTATCAGAAATGTATACATATTTATTTAATGGTATGTAAATTATATGTTTACACTTACTTCAAAGATAACTGCAGGAAATTTTACAGCTAGATCTAGATCTAAAATCGTTCTAGAAACTGCTACGCTGCTCATTAAACCGAAATAACTGAACGGGAAATCCCGGTATTATCTAAAGAGTTGACGTCACGTTCCAAGGGACAGAACTGTCGCTGTTCACATTTATCTCGCTGGAACTTATCAAGGTAACTCACATTCACAATATACAGGAGTGGAACTATCATACCGAAATACGGTTGTGGGGGGGGGGGGGGGGGGGGGGGGGAGGAGTAGGGGGAGGGGGGCATATTCCGACCAAAAACAACACATTTTTTTTTACCTTTTCTAACATATCTATTACAGCAGTGGCTGTTCGTCAGTATGTAGTACACACTGTCGCATAGAGAAAAATCTAGATTAGCTACTGTTTGAAAGTTTAGCAAAACTTCAAACCACTGCCATAACTTGTCACTCCGCTGTAAATAGTATAATAGGGGTGTTAAATGTGTCTAGTTTTGTACTAAACAAATAGCTATTTCTTTACTTAATTATCATTTAAATAAGAAACAATAAAGACTGACACAGACATGAAAATGGTATTTGTTTTACATCTTTTAGTTACTAAAGCTTTTATTAGAGAAAGCAAAGTAATTTTATATTTTTATTTTTTTTAAAACGGCCGGGTGAAAAAAAGTCTCCGTGCCTAACGCTGATACCCTTATTGCGAACCCAATAGGTGATGCTTTATTGTGAACCCCAATAGTTGATCTTTATTGTAAACCTCGCTTGTTGATGTTTTATTGTGAACCCCAATAGGTGATGTTTTATTGTGAACCCCAACTGTTGATGTTTTATTGTAAACAGACTGTAAGCAGATCAGACATTAGGGAATGTTCTGGTAGATACTTACTATAGTTGTTCATTCCACAAGTAGAGTCTGTCTTCACCTAGAAAAATAAAGCATACAAAATATAGACATTATTTCCAACAATAATTTAAACTTCATCTTGCATGTCACATTTTATGATTTATTATATTAAGATATTCTAACCGAAATTCGCTAAGGAATGAAAACTTAATTTTAATTATATCACTTTGTATCTATGCACTACCCTGCTCACTACCATTAAATGAGATCCGTCCCTTAAACACCAAACCTAGTGACACACATACACATTAATCTTGTTCACAAGTTGTTTTTTTTTTTAAAAGTGTTGGTTTTTTTTTTTTACCTACACCGTTAAATGTGACACATAGACTTTTTATAATTGTCTATGTAAATGTAAATGGACTGTTAGGTTCACCTATATGTTCAAATTTATTCAAAATTTATTCAAATTTATTCTAACAACGGTTACAATTGTAGGCACAATTTTGATAATAACATATCTAATTATAAAGAGTGAATGCCAACAACACAATTACCATTAACGTTATTAGTTTATATTTTCATACAGATGGCCGTATCAATTGCTATAAAGGAGCAATTAGCTCAACTGTTGAATAATCTGGAAGAGATGAATAGTTTGCTGAAAAATAATTTAAGTGACTTTGATCAGCAGGTAAGCACATCTCATAGTATTAACGCCAAAACCTGTTACTAATAGCTAATTTTAATGCAACTGTTTAAAACAAATGTCTGATTTGTAAAATTTCATTTTCAATCCACATTCCTTTTCCTTAATAGATTTACCTATTGTACTATGTCGTTGTGGGTTTATTTTAAAACCCATTTAAAAGATGATGTATATTTAGTTTGCAGATTGTGATTGTTTTTAAATTAATTAGCATCTCAAGGTTTAAATATTTCAATCCTCGTCTATGTTATCGCTATGCCAGGTAAAGCAAGCAACACTGGAATGGTTTGACAATCCCTCAGATGCGAAAATAGATTTTAAAGAAGTGGTTGCTATGGTAACAACAGTAAATACTGCCCTACTTGAACTTAAACAAACGATTTCTGGTAATATTAAAAAATGTGGTTTGACTTTTTATTTTATTAATTTCTCCTATATACGAAGTATAGAAAAAGTCTTGTAATCGTGCAAAAACAAAAATGGAGATTTTTGCAAATCTCGACGTTTTAGGGCTCACTGAGTCGGAAAAACATAGTTTTGCAATCTTGTCCGTATGTCTCTGTGTGTGTGTGTGTGTGTGTATGTGTGTCTGTCTATGTGTGTGTTGTCTTTAAAAGACGATAACTTGAGCACCGTTACAGCTAGGTTGATGAAATTTCATATATAAGTATTATATCAAAATCGTAGATCAATTTCAACTTTTGAGCAATTTCCGAAAACCGGAAGTGGAACTTTTTCTACTTTAAATTTTTCAAAAGCCTATAACTTGAGTACTATTTCAGATAGATAAATAAAATTTCACATGTAAATAAAACATCTAATTCTCTGCCTTTTTTCAAATTTTGAGTAATTTCCGTTGACCAGAAGTATTAATTTACGCTATTTCCGATTTCTCAAAAAAAAAAAAAAAAAAAAAAACGCATGTGAATTTATAAAGTACGAATAATATTTCGCACTTCTATGCACATTTTACTTTGCGTTCATTTAGTATGCAATTCTTTTGCTACGAGATTTTATTCTATTTTAAAAAGTGTAAATTTTTTTTAAAATGGATTAAAATTCATGTCTATATCCAGAGTTACTATCCCCCGTAGTGTTATATAAGAATATTCGAGAAAGTAGTTTAGGGAAGATCACTCCCGGTTTATTTTTATTTCGTTTGATTACTAATTGTATTTCATGTTAAATCGAGTCCTAAAACAATATTTGTTCCACATGTCAAAAAGTTTCCTGCACCAAGTATCAAGCAATGGCTGCTGGAGATAAGACAACACAAGAGAATAAAAGTGTTGACTCTGTACACGATGGAAATTATTCTGATCTTTCTATATCAGGTAAAACCTTAATTTAAAAATGAAATGGTTGTAAAAAGTAATTGTGCTAAGTAAAATTGATTTATATATATATATATATATATATATATATATATATATATATATATATATATATATATATATATATATATATATATATATATATATATATATATATATATTAATGCACCGTTGCTGTAATGTAATTACTTTACTTTTGTCTTTAGTTTGAAATCTTTGCTTCTATTACCTTCTCCTATATGCTAACATAAACACATTTTACAAGTTGCAGCTGATTTAAGTAACAAACTAGAGCAAAGAGTAGAACGTCTTGAAACAACGCTTACTTCTATGCAAAGTAGGAATAAAAAAACTGAAGCTGACCTGACCGAAATTAAGCAATGGAGGGACACTTATAAAACAGAAGAAAGTAATATGAAAGAACACATAGAACAATTGGCTTTAAAACAAAAACATAATGCTAAGCAGTTCCGTAAGCAAATTAACGAACAGAAAAATATAACAGATGAGATGAATGAAGAAATGAAACAATTGAATGAATTAAAACAATGGAGGAAAACACTTATATCAGAACATAACGCTATGGCGAAAAAACTTGAAGAATTGTCTCAGAAAGAAATAGATAATAAAGAAAAGATTAGAGAACAGATAAAAGAAACCAAAACCAAAATAAATGAGTTTAATAAAGAAATTGAGACACTCAAAGAAAAGGAATCAAACGCAAGACAAGCTCTAGAAAGCACGAATACAGAGATGAACAAGTTTGACATCATATTAAACAAAATAAATGAAGAATTAGAAATTCAAACAACTAAAACAGAGAAATTGCAACAAGATATTAAAAAGCATGCTGATTTTTTTTCCTACTTGATGGAAGAAGGAAAAAAAAACAAAAATACTGAAACAAAAGTAGAAAAGTTAATTTCAATGGTTTGTACCTATTTTATCTTTTGAACACATATTTTACTTTTTTAATGTGGATTTCTGGGTTTGTGTTGTATTAGTTGATAGCTACACACTTTAATAACTATCACAATTTGTCTTGATTTCATTTGCCAAAAATATAAGACAACATGATTATATTATTCTAATTCTAGCATAGCGTCACGTTCAAGATCTTTAACCAAAGATTGATGCCCGTTGAAAATTTAATTCAAATGTTTAATCAAAACTTGGCAAATAGACAGATGAACAAACAAAAGGTAACATAATTAGAACGTAATGGGATTGGTCGTTTTGAGAGTCTATTAAACCCCTTTATATACCAACATACTCTCCTGACAGGAGTATTGTTTGAGACCGATTTAAATATGTTAACAAAGTTGTTTTTGTTCTTTTTTAGACATAATTACAACATTAAAAAATAAAAATATTTACACTTCTTAAGTCCAAATGTTGTTTTTTTTGTAAATTTCGTAGAAAGTCAATTTTTAAAAAATTATGATACAATTCTTATAATGACCTGATGTCATCTTTTGTTTTTAGCTTGCAACTTTGGAAAATGATGTTTTAAAATTGTCAAGTGATGTAGATTCAATTAGTAAGTATTTTATCATTACTGCCCGTACATGCATTATTAATATCCTGGATTTCATCTACTTTAGGTATAAGTATGTTTACTTAATGTTTTCTGACATAAAACCATGATCGTTTTAAATAGATACTAGAAATTCACATTCCGTTTTAGGAGTAATTAATAATATTTTAAATTACCTATGACGTTAATCACGACCAGTTTGCTGGTGTTTTCACTTGTTATATTTTATAGTGGTCAAAATTATTTAAAGGACAACAACACGCCAGTTATCAATGCTGAATATTTTTTAAATAAATGGATAAGTAAGGAATATATGAATAATAATTATTGCAATCCGTACTAGGTAAATTGCTCATTTAGAGAAATAGTTGTATAGGACAATTGTTTAACAAATGGACTTATAATGTAAGGGTTTAATGAGGGCTATTGTCAAAATAGAACACAGTAAGTGGGTTGCCCACGAAAAAAATACTTCAAACATGAACATATTTTCATGGAGCACATACACATACATACAGAACACACAGAATCACACACTCAAACACACTCTTGCGCAAATATAGAAAGCGGAACAGAAAAACAGTCAATGTCGCTTTCAAGTCAAATAGAGACAAAACAAACACACACTAAAACATAAGTTTCACATACTATGAAATATTTCAAGTGCATCTGTCCTGTTGCTGTTAATATAAGAAAAACAAAAAAAAAAGTATTGAATCATACTCTCCCATTTATTCTTTAGCATATATGCCACAACTCCCCCACCCCTTCATGTTTTAACAAACGATAGCTGAAACTGAATTTATACAATTAAACACAACAAAAGTAGGACACATTGTTCAGCAGTAATAAACATGAGAGTATCATTTTATTTAATGTCATTGATAACGGATGTTAAAACAGGACAAGACATCAAAAGCCACTCTGCTCTGATTTTAATTCTACAAGATGATGGGAAGAAAAATCTGGCCAACACTACAAAATTGATGGGGACTTTAACTACGAAGGTATCATGTCATCAGTTACAATTGATATATTCATTTCTATATTTAAAACTGATGATTATTTTAACCTTGTTAAAATAATATGAGCTAGTATTTGGACCAATTAATTGTATTGTGTTTTGCGTGCTATTTAAATAAAAAATAAAATGTTAACTATTTTAAGAATGTAAGACATTCATGTTTCACATGAGTGACTTTTTGTACGAAAATAATTTTTGATGAAATAACCTGTAAATTGTACACACATTTTTAGGTTGCAACTCGCGAAAGTGATGTTTTAAAGCTGTTGAAAGATTTCAAGACAATTGGTAAGTTAAATATTAAACATACACACAATTACAAACAGCTATACAGACACACATACACATTCAAGCTAATCTTTATTTATAAACGCTATCTTATACTTCCCGAACAGAAACCCGGGTATGTCAGCCTTACATCTGTCAAATTCACCTGGACAACGACACACCAGTGACTACTGGATTAATTATTTCAACATTTTTTTACGTGGGGGAACCTAACGGCAGCCATTTTAATAAAACCACAGGAAAACTTGTAGCACCAGATGATGGTTCCTATCTTGTGATTGTGACGCTGCAGGAATGGGAGGATAAGCTGATTATAATGAGTGTGTACAAGGATGAGTCATTTTATAGCAACTTTTTTGTTAAATCAGCCAACACATCTGCCGCTGGGTCAGTTGTTGTTGACATGAAGAAAGGCCAAGAACTTTATTTTAAAGTGGGGCAAGCTGATGATGGAGCAAAGCTACAAGCTGGAAGTGGCTTCACTATTATTAGATTGTAAATAATAAGTAGTTTATTATTTATTTCACACCACATCATTTTCGATTTTTAAAATTATCCAATGTTCCTATGTTGTATGCATGTGCATATCGTTTCAATAGGTAGGTTCCACTGTTTCTGGCAGACATATTTTAGAGAAATATGTGAACACACTGAATTATAATCTACACTTCATTTTTGGAAAACAAATGGTTTGATTTTTTTTCGGTTGCATTTTAAATACATACAATTAAACATACAAAGAGTTTGTGTTTCAGTGTTGTAACATAAACTAATGTTAAGATAATATAAAGTAGCTATGCTTCGCATGCCATCGTGAAATGAACATATACATAGTAAAATATTATGTCTTGTCAATTCAGTACGTTTATGTAACATATGCTTGTCGCATGTAGCTTGCAGCACCACTTTCTGTCATGGTTTAATTATGTCAAGATTTAAAGATATACATGAATATAATGGTCAAAACTGTAATCAAACAACTTGATTGTTTATATAAGTATAAGAGAAAGTAAAAATTGTCCAATTAATGCAATTGAACAATGTTGTTTTTTTAAAAAAAGACTAGTTTTTAATTAGTTTCAGTAGTTATTTTACATGCTATAGAACGCTGGCAAGATATGGGTTAGTACGAAAGTAATATATTAATATGTGTAGTGATAAACGCATACATACGTTGCAAAATGTTATTTTAAGACGTAAGAAAAAATAAGATGAGTGAAATATAAACCTAGCCCTATTAAAATCTCAGTAGACGCCTATGTAAAAGTTCAACAACCAGGTCCCTACATCCATTCCTGTATAATTTTTCAGATGATTTTATGTAAAATGAACATGTATGAGTGTATGTTAATTTTGACCTTGTGAAGTGTTTAAAGTACCCACCCGATCTGTCTTGATTAGAGATGACGTAGTCGACTCTAACCCGAAATCAGAACCCGATACGTTCCGGTTCTCATATGACATACCACACGACCACGCCGTTCCAATGTTAAAGACTGAAAAGTGTAACGGTCGACTTCATCCTAGGTGTGAGTTACTTTAATTTGTGCTTTCACACGAGATGCTACAAATGGATCTTTATGTTATAACTGGGGTCTATGTTACCCGCAGTTATACAGTGAGAGGGTACTCAATACCATTATGTTCCTCTCTAACCATTCAGTATTTATTTCTAGAGTTTAAACATAGAACAGGACGACATTAACGTAGATATATGATTCGATAGGATGATAGCAGTTAACTTCAATATTTTTTACACTATAAAAATACAAAGGACGACTTCAACAAACGATAACGAGACTTGACAACACTACGACCTCTCCCCAATACAACAAGATTAAGACTAACTAAACTTCTTCCCCGGTAACAACGATCCTACACTGAAACGTCACTTTCTTGTGTAAAGCGTCACATCTTCATGCGTTCATTATATCTTTCGCACCAATATTCGTTGACATTTACACACCTGATCAAACATACGTCTTAACACTTTACTTGAGGCTAAAAGTGAAAATTCTATTAAGCAGCACATTTTAAAATCAATTCACTTTTCACCTAAATTATGTTTATGCTATGTTATTAATTAAAAATGGAAATAACTTTCAATATATCTACTCTAAATCGAAGTTATAAAATAGACCTCAATTACCGCTTATGGTTAGTTTTGTCAGCGAATGCGAGAATAAAAAAATGTCGGAGATGTTTGTGTTATTGTCTGTTTAAAAACATCAATATTTTGATCATACACTTAGCGCTAACATTCCGAGAAGATAGTGATGGCATTGAATTAGATGGAACTGTGTAAAGATGACTAAACAAATAACATAAACCCTTTTACCAATATGTGTTTCTGATAAATTTGATGATGTTATTCATGATAAACTTAAACCATCAAAATTGTTAAATTCATCATTTTTGTCTTATTTAGATGAGAAATGTGTACATCTACCCACTGATGAGAGTCAAAAATGGTCTCAATTGATTAATGCATTTCCTTCCATTTTTGGTGATATTCCTAAAGAAGCAAATGTTCCCCCTCATGAGCTTGATGTAGGTGATGCCGAAACTGTGAAACAGCATCCTTACCAAGTTTACCCAGAAAAAGCTGTTATCATGAAACATGAAATTGAATACATGTTAGAAAATGATATCATAGAACCCAGTTTTAGTAATTGGAGTTCCACTTGTCTTTTGGTCCCAAAGGGAGATAGCACATTCAGATTTGTATTTGACTTTAGGGAAGTCAATGCCCTTACTAAATCTGATTCCTACCCTACACCTAGAATAGATGATGTTATTGACAAAGTTGGTCAATCCAAAGTTATTTCCAAGATTGACTTATTGTCGGCGTACTGGTAAATTCCTTTGTAAGACCGTGCCAAAGAAATATCTGCATTTGTAACTACAAATGGTTTCTATAGGTATAAACGCATGCCGTTTGGTATGAAAAACGCTGGACAAACGTGTCATAAACTCTGTTATTGCAGATATTAACAAATGTGACGCTAACATAGATGATATTGTAGTGTATTCAGATTCTTTTGATGAGCACATTGTCCAGTTTACTCAACATTTCAAAAAATTGTCAAATATTAATTTCACTGTTAATCTACACAAAAGCGATTTTGTAAAAGTTCTAGTTACAACAGTTGATGTAAAGTTACAATAGTCAATGTTAAGTTACGAAAGTCAATTTTAAGTTACAACAGTAAATGTTAAGTTACAACAGTCGATGTTAAGTTACAACAGTGTATATTAGGTTACACTAGTCTATATTAAGTAAAAACAGTCAATGGAAGGACTACAGTGTCTATGTTATGTTACAATTCAGTCTATTTCTGCGCTTTCAGCAGACGACTCCCCTGTGCACACACATAAACTATTTATAGCACACACACACACGTATAACACATATCGATACTGTGTACGTAAACATTTTCCCAATAGAATCCCACTCAGTTCAACTCGTAATGTCTAGCCCTAACTCTAAACTTACAGATGATCACGTGCGTCCAGACAAACCTACCAATAAACCTACCAATAAACCTACACGCTTTTCTGGAGGTCCACACTAGGCCAAATTAATGATAAACCTACCAGATTTTCTTGTCAAACTAAACCTACCACTAAACCTACCACTGAACCTGCCACTAAACACAACAATTAAACATACCAGGTTCTACTGCCTAACACTTAACCACTAAACCTACCAGAAAAACCTACAATTTAACAAATATACCTACCACTAAACCTACGACTAAAACTAAACCTACCCCTAAACCAACCAATACACCTACCACTTAACCACTAAATGTACCTTTTAACTAATAAACCTACCACTAAACCTACAAGTTTTTCTTGCCATTACAAAACCTACCACTAAAAGTACCACTAAACCTACCAATTAATCCATTTAACCAATAATCCTACCACTAAACCTACCACTAAACCTACCACTAAAAATACCACTGAACTTACCACTTAACCTACCAGTGAACCTACCAGAAACCTACCAGTTTTCTTGGGCCTACACTGGCGAACCTTCCTGAGTCTGTGGTTGTCACATCTTGCGTTGCTGAGCTCGCACAGGTTGGCGTATGTGTTGAGGTCGCTGCCAGACACGGTTTTATGGATGGCTGGCCAAACACGGTGTTGTGGTCGTGCCGCACACGGTGTTGTGGTCGCTGCCACACACGGTGTTGTGGTCGTGCTACACACGGTGTTGTGGTCGTGCCTCACACGGTGTTGTGGTCGTGCTACACACGGTGTTGTGGTCGTGCCGCACACGGTGTTGTGGTCGCTGCCACACACGGTGTTGTGGTCGTGCTACACACGGTGTTGTGGTCGCTGCCACACACGGTGTTGTGGTCGTGCCTCACACGGTGTTGTGGTCGTGCTACACACGGTGTTGTGGTCGTGCTACACACGGTGTTGTGGTCGTGCCTCACACGGTGTTGTGGTCGTGCCTCACACGGTGTTGTGGTCGTGCTACACACGGTGTTGTGGATGGCTGGACACACCAGCTTACAGCTGGGATCGGGCTTGGCTGGCCTGACGGCTTTCCCTGAGGGGGTGGGGGGGGGGGGGTGCTGGGAGGAAAGCAATTCAATTGGTTATTCCCCCCCCCCCACTTCTATCTTATAAAAAGTAGGAATTTGCTTTAATAAAGAAACGTAATCAATAAAAAAAAAATTGTTAGTACTTTACATTTTATTTGTGTTTTGTTTGAACGGCTTTAATTTAAACATAACAGCTCATCTCATTAGAGTTCAAGATTTGGATTTTACTGAGATTCAGGGCTAGGGTCAAAATTTTGGTCATGGTTGGGGAGAGAGGTGGGGTCATGGATAGGGTTGGTGAGAAGGGCTGAGGTCGGTTTATGATGACATTTTAAGTCTGGACTAAGGACATGATTAATATGATCCTCTTTGTTCAGGCAAGGTTCACTAAGTTTATATTTAGTGTAGCGATCCTAGGTATATTATACATGGGCGAAATGTGAACGTATGCCATATAAAATTAATTCAGCATGAAATAAATGGAAATCGAACTATATACATCTATACAAACACAATGCACCATATGACGTCTATAAAAAGGAAATCCCCATATGACGTCTATAACAAAAGAATGCACCATATTACGTCTATAATCAAAGAATGCACTTATGGAAATCTATAAAAACACAATGGCGTCCATATGACGTCTAAAAAAACACAACGCACCATATGACGTCTATAATAAACACAATGCACCATATGACGTCTATTAAAACACTAGGACGTCCATATGACGTCTATAAAAAACACAATGCACCAAATGACGTCTATAAAAACACAATGCACCAAATGACGTCTATAAAAACACAATGCACCAAATGACGTCTATAAAAACACAATGCACCAAATGACGTCTATAACAACACAATGCACCAATGACGTCTATAAAACACAATGCACGTACCGTGGGTGAACGCTACAAACAAGAGGACCAGGAGGAGATTGTGTACACAGGCGGCCATCTTGACAGTCTGGGGATGTGGACAACACATTAGTCTGTACAATTATCTGGCACTCATTAGTTCATGAACAGATCACTGGACGTGGTGTAACATGGGATATGTTCAAAGTCGGTATTGTATAGTAGGATGGTACAGCGCACGACTGCTAACCCGAAAGTCTCGAGTTCGGATCCCATAAGAAGTCCCTGAGTCTACCCAGCTCTAATGGGTACCTGCTTACGTTATGGAATTAAAGGTGACTGGACAATGCTGACCACGCTGATCTCATATTTGCCGAGGACGTTATAACAGATGAGCTCTACTTCTCCTGCTTCACACGTCTCCGGAACGACCGAGAAAATATGATGCTTGTCTACAACTAGACGTCAGTTTATTTACGGACCAATGCGTGTGGTGTATCACTGACCATGGTGAGTGAAAGGACTTATAAAACAATGTATTGAAATGTCGCCTAGTTTATGTCGACGTTCTGATATTAACCAAACGCATTAACGATACATTGTGTCGTTCGTTTACAGTGGTCACAAAATTTGAATGCTCCTGGGTCATGTCAAGGGTCATCCTAAAACGATGTCCCGCTTTTAAAACGATTTTACCAACTCATTATCAGTATCAGTATTACAACCCCACTACCTTCCCAATGACGTCAAATCTCAGCCAACCACCTCCCTCAAATAGGCTGGTTTTATTATATTTAAAGCGATTTTCTTGCTAAACTATTTACTGAGGCTGGTAAACTGTGTATATTGATCAATTTTAAGTGAAATTCATGAAACAAGTCTTTTGAAAACGTGAACTTATGGCTAACATTAGTCTTTCTGTCACGGCTTTTTAAACCAGGGGAGTTGACCAACACTATCAGTCATCATCACACAAGCCGCCCCCTCCCCCACCTCTTCTTTATAAAAATGAATATAAGGCACCACCGGGCTGGTGTAAACACACCTAGATCTACCGCATTGACTGAAGCTGATGTTCACACGACACAATATGGTCATGGCTATGTATGTAAATATGGGACAAACAACCATCTCTAACTCAAAAGGATGTTGCTGAGTCAACCCAGCTCATATGGGTACCTGATCTACGTAAGGGAAAGCAAGGTGGCTAATTATAGAATTTACAACACTGCCTGGATAAAACTGTAGGTATTCGTAAATAACCGAATAATGTTTATATTGGGCTGAACTATGGCTTTAAGGATTTCATTTTAGAATATGTCAGTGCTGATAAAGTAGAGCAACCGACAGAGTAGAGTAGCTGATAGATTAATTAATGCAGCTGACACATTAGAGTAACCGATAGATTAATGTAGCCGATATAATAGAGTAGCCGATAGATTAATGTAGCCGATAGAATAGAGTAGCCGATAGATTAATTAATGCAGCTGACACATTATAGTAGCCGATAGATTAAAGCTGCCGATAGAGTAGAGTAGCCGATAGATTAATTAATGCAGCTGACATATGTGCTGAAAAGAAAATCGGTCGTCTAGATAACGCATAGAGTTTCGTTTATTAATCTATAATGTCCATGTTAAGTACATAGTTGAAGCAATCCTTTCAGTCATCGTCGTACGTTTTAAGGGATACAGTACTGAGACGTGTTGTATCGAGTTCTAAGTTGGTGGGTAAACGATAGGTGTGAGGGTGTGTGTGCAGTATTCGTGTGAGGGTGTATGTGCAGTTGTCGTGTGAGGGTGTATGTGCAGTTGTCGTGTGAGGGTGTGTGTGCAGTATTCGTGTGAGGGTGTATGTGCAGTTGTCGTGTGAGGGTGTATGTGCAGTTGTCGTGTGAGGGTGTATGTGCAGTTGTCGTGTGAGGGTGTATGTGCAGTATTCGTGTGAGGGTGTATGTGCAGTTGTCGTGTGAGGGTGTATGTGCAGTTGTCGTGTGAGGGTGTATGTGCAGTTGTCGTGTGAGGGTGTATGTGCAGTTGTCGTGTGAGGGTGTATGTGTCGTTGTCGTGTGAGGGTGTGTGTGCAGGTGTCGTGTGAGGGTGTGTGTGCAGTTGTCGTGTGAAGGTGTATGTGCAGTTGTCGTGTGAGTGTGTATGTGCAGTTGTCGTGTGAGGGTGTATGTGCAGTATTCGTGTGAGGGTGTATGTGCAGTTGTCGTGTGAGGGTGTATGTGCAGTTGTCGTGTGAGGGTGTATGTGCAGTTGTCGTGTGAGGGTGTATGTGTCGTTGTCGTGTGAGGGTGTGTGTGCAGGTGTCGTGTGAGGGTGTGTGTGCAGTTGTTGTGTGAGGGTGTATGTGCAGTCTTCGTGTAAGGGTGTATGTGCAGTTGTGAGGGTGTATGTGCAGTATTCGTGTGAGGGTGTGTGTGCAGTCTTCGTGTGAGGGTGTGTGTGCAGTTGTCGTGTGAGGGTGTATGTGCAGTATTCGTGTGAGGGTGTATGTGCAGTATTCGTGTGAGGGTGTGTGTGCAGTTGTCGTGTGAGGGTGTGTGTGCAGTCTTCGTGTGAGGGTGTGTGTGCAGTTGTCGTGTGAGGGTGTATGTGCAGTATTCGTGTGAGGGTGTATGTGCAGTATTCGTGTGAGGGTGTGTGTGCAGTATTCGTGTGAGGGTGTATGTGCAGTATTCGTGTGAGGGTGTATGTGCAGTTGTCGTGTGGTTGATAGAAGGCTGCGGAGATATGACGATGTGGGATAGCGGCAGAGTTTTTTTCTTCTGTAACTGGATACACACGCCAATACAAGACTGAAAAAACTGCTGATTTTTGGTTTTTACACTTTTTTATTCTTTCATAGTTTGATGCCTAGTTATAACATTGAGGAAAGAGTTTGCTTTTTATTATGGCAAATATGTGTTTGTAGTCCCAGATTTTTCTCCAGGTCATCCTAGACTTAACAAACAAGTTGACTTAGTGACACAACCATCATTGATTTGTCTACGGTCCACGTCAGCCCTGGCCGTCTCTACTGGAACATCTTTCTTTGATTCCTGCAACTCTCTGACCACAGGCGCGTCATTAACTTGGTCGGCCACAACAACAGCCAGGGTAAACAGCAGACAGGCAATCACGACAGCTTTCATTTTCTGTCGATAGAAAAAAAAACTACACCAGTAACACATTATTGCACATAGACTACATGAATTAATAAACAAACAGACAACCTAACGCTAATAATAAAGTTTGTTTGGCTGTTTATTGTCACAAACGAACAAAAATAAATTAGAATATTAAAAGTTTGAATGTATTTAGATTATTTCAAAATTATTAAAATACGTTTGAAAATTATTATATAATTACATTAAATCAATTGAATAGGTTATAGTTAAGCGTAGATTACGATATAATACGTAAAAGTCATAGTAGCCTTAGTCAAAGAAGTAAAAAATATACAACTACTTATGCAATAGTAAGATAATTAAAACATTTTAAAATTATTTAGTATGTGAGAGAAAAAAAAGGATTGATTTTTGGTATATGAATTTAAAGTAAGAATTAAATAATAAAAGTGTGTGTGTGTGTGTGAGAGAGAGAGAGTCTGTGTGTCGTTTGATAAGTTTTGAAATACAAAAAAAAAATCGTTGTAAATTGGTATTTTAGAAAATGTGTGTGATTTAAAATAAGCATTACAAACATAACGAAAAAAAAATTCCGTTATTTTCAAATAGTAACAAACTATTTACCGAACTAAAGTGGCAGAGGCGCTAAGATAGACCTTTACTGAAAAGCCTTGAAGTGTTGAGCTACAAGCCACGTATAGGCCTACTTATATACTACATGAGGCAGCATTAATGTATTCAAATATTCTGCGATTATGGTCATGTCGCTAATGAAATTCAGAGAAAGCCGATTGTCTATCACCTTACAAAGCCTGTAAGAAAACAAAAACAAATTGCATAATTAAGCCAACTAATGTACGAATCTGGCGAGCTAAAAAAAGATCAGACAACAGAACAGATAAATAGTTTAAAATATTAACAAGAACTACTTAAAAGTTAGCATAATTTGTTATTTGAAACAAACTAGATTAGATGAAAGGCTCATCTGTAATACTGATAACGTTAGCCTTAAGGCTTTTATCCAGGTATATAGATCTATAACGACTCATTGACGTGTAGTATTTCAAATCGCTGCTAAAGTTATTTTAATGTAAGCTTTAAGATGTTTATCCCATATCACATACAGCTACTTAATGTGCATGGATTTATGGTACTACGTTTAACAAGCGATGTCGTGGTCGTATGTTAGAGCCCACGGCTGCTAATACAAAAGTCTCGAGTTTAAATCCTGGCTCAAGTTTATACAAAGTCACTTAGTACTCCCCGATATGATGGGTACATTTAAGGAAACTATGGCGTTTGAGTTTAATACAAGCCACACTATCACAGTTTACGCCAAGGTCAAGTAAACTATTTTTTTTATTTTTTTGCTAAATGAACTACAATGTTATAAATGGAAACTTGATCTAACAAGATCTGTGCAAGTCGGTTCGCTAACTGTACTTTGCTTTATGTTAAAGAGTAGTCAGCTTCTCGCACACCTACCGACATGGAGGGTCACGACACAACGTTTAGCCTTGCTCAAAAGCACACAGACCTGCTCGGCAAATGATTTAACAGCTATGCAATGATTCTTTCATGCTAAGTTAACCTTACTGGGACTTACCAATGGTTCCTGATCAATAACAGGTGTTAGAAAAATGTGTCTATTGTTGCCCTACTCTTTCTGGTTGTTCTCGAATATGCTACTCACATCCTATGCCTGTGCTGACCATTCTAGATTGGAGTAAATTTATGAACATAGGACACATTTTACCAGTAAAAAGAAGTTGATACAGCAAATAAACTTTAACAGTGTTTTGATTGTATCAGGCGTTGTGTTTTAAACTAGAGTAATTCTATCAGTCTTTAAGTGAAGGAAGACCATTCTGTAATAAAAATTGTGTATACATCTCCCCAACAAGAGTAGCTATAATAGCGAAGTTATTTCTTTAGGTGTATCATTTCATCTAATGAGCTCAATCAAGATATTGAACGTTACTTAGTTATATAATTGCATAAAATCAACAAGGCCATTAAATATGATTCATCTTTTATTTTGCTAGTTTAATGATGTTTCTTAACCCTTTATTTACGGAATTAGGTTCTGAATGAAAGCTTTTTTTAAAGTTAAATCATTAAAACATCATCATAAGGTCTGAGAATGATGTGTAATACACACGTGTCTTATGTTACTGGGGCCAGTAGACTTAATGTGAAGTGATCACCCCACAAGCATGATGTGCAACTTTGATGTTTTGTCTGAAAGATATAATTTATTAATTAAAAAATAGAGGCAGTGACTAAATACTATCCAAGTTCTTTTAAAAAGATATACATCTTTTAATTTAGCTTTATATTTTCTAATGCAGCGATATATTTGCATCTGCGCGCTATAATTAAAAACAATTCCAGATTTTAAAAAAATTCGTAAAAAACGTTTTATGTACGTTTTAACTAAACTCTACTTTCATTTTAAATGAATTTTAGATAAATTTATCTAGGAATGTATAGTTTGTATGTGTTTGCTAGCATCAGAGACCAACGTAGATAAGACATAAACATGACTGTAAATATGCCTGCTTACATCAGTGGCACACGTAAATACGACTTGTGTCATATGGGATTGCGACAAAACTATATCGCGTGTTTAAATAACTTCTAGAATTTTAGTCATTGCTTTTAGTTCAAGCGTTAATCTAGCAATTTAAAAATGTATAATTGAAATAAGAGTATCATACATAAACACATTTTACATATGTTATGCGTGGCTTTTACAAGAACCGTTTTTCCCTCAATGGATTTTTTGCTTTCCATTTGCTATAAATTATAGAACTAAATTGAACCCGCCCTGTAGATGCATATGGCTTATTATCTCAAGTACCATACAAGCAGGTTACAACACTGCTTGAATCAGCTATCCCCTGGCTCGCGTACCCTGTCAAACATAGTCACATGTGGTTTTTGGAGTGTGGGCTGCTGGTCAACTTCAGATGTCGACTTGGTCATCCATTGCTGTGGCCGGTTTTCGCATGTCCAATGTGTTTCAAGTCACTGCTTTTACAAGAATCCCGAAGTTAAATCATGGACCGATGAGCTGAACCGACAAACCGGTCTTTAGTGAACTAGTTTTATTGAGAAACTCTGCGCTTTAGTTCATGTTATATCTTCATTGTAAACATTCCACAACTGGGAACATCACCTGCAACAACTGTTATTAAGTAGAGGATATCTAGCAGATATGCGATCTAACTTAAATAATCGATAACCTCGAGGTTTGTATGTGTGTTTCTTTTGATCGCAATACATTTCCTTCTAGATGCGAATGTTCTATGTGTGATTACGTGTTCTGTTTTCTGCAATAAGTAGCATCCCACTGACTATGTCTGCTAAAGCCGCTGATATTCAGATAACGCCCGCTATCCAGATTGTAGCATCGTAATAACTGCACGCAGCGATTAGTAAATATACACTTTAATAAGAACGTAATGTGTTCCTAATCCGGGAATTTAGCCTTAAGGCTAAAATTGAAACACGTGGTGTTAGATTGTGTATTGGGATTGCTTTGAAACAAATCTTTTTACATGTTATATTTTAGTAAATCTTTGCAATGTTGTATACATTTAAAACCAGGGCTTCTAAAGTGGTATTAATGCATGGGTGCTATCCATTGTGAATGTATTGAGTGTATTCTACATGCAACCATGTGTTTCCCACTTAAATTTTTTTTTTAAATAATGATCATTTTCTTCCAGGCATCTTTTCGGGGGGGGGGGGGGGAGAGGAGTGGACGAAAAATGTCTACGGTCCGCCCCCCCCCCCTTTTTTTTCAAAGATCGAATTGGAATTAATATAGAAAATATATTTTTACCATTGTTCTCCCCCTCGGAAATTTAGTCCGCCCCCACCCTCCCTAACGAAAAGTATCAAGTCCATTATCACCCCCCACCCACCTGGATGGATAAAAAATGTCTGAAAAAACAAAAATAATGATCACCTAGAATACTATTCCTTAATAACTTAATCCTGTTCTCTTGTTCCCAAATAACCTACTAGACACTATAATCTGCTCCAGCTGATATCGATCACGCGATCAAACTGTATAAATTCCGGCTACTTAGCTAAATCCGTTTTAAAGCAAGGTGTACAGTCATACACACGGGCAAGTAGTCTCTTCTTTGTTGCAACAAAACCAGTTCAGTTTTACAGAGGTAAGGAGTATAAAAACATACGCATACACGTTTTTAAATTCATTTTTGAAAACTAATACAGTAAAACTTTGTTTTCCAAGTACTTATTGTATACAATCAGAGTTTATTCCAAGCATCTCTTCGGGGGGGGGGGGGGGGGATGCGAAGCCCCCACGAAAAAATTCAACCGCCCCCCCCCCTTTTCCCGAACGAAATTTATATAATTTATATAGAAAATATGTACTTTTAACAGTGTCCGCCCCGCCCCCCGAAGAAAGTCTACCGCCCCCCCCCCCCCCTGAAAATTTCAAATGTGCTCCCCCCCCCCCCCCCGGAGAAAAAAGTTTGGAAGAAACACTGTATACAATATATATATATATATATATATATATATATATATATATATATATATATATATATATATATAGCCTACAATTTTCATAGTATTTGTTAAATACTAACTTTAAATTAGCGCGAAAATGCATTAAGACGTAGTTAACTCATTACAAGAATAGTTCAACCACCTGTTCTGCCCACATTTATCACGCTTATTACATAACAAAGGAAAGGATCAAAGCAGAAACTGACACGGTACAAAGGCTGTTATTGACGCTAAACGTCAACAACACACAATGTGGACGGATAAGGTCGACTCAGGATAAGCCGACCAAGGAATGGCAAAAAAACAAACATGCAAAACACAATGATGTGCCTAAAATTCGTTTGTAATTAACATTTCTATAGCGTATTTAATTAAATTCGGTACAAAGGTTGGTTACAGTATTTTTACTTATTAGTGTTAGAAACCACAATGCTTTTATCGTTTATAAAAATGCTAAAAACAACAACAACCAACATCAATAAGCAGACAAAATTTTACAATTCTCAACAATTCAAAGCAACATATGCATTAAAACATTATTGTGACTTTTTCTGTGACTTTATTTCTGTTACTTTTTTCGAAATAAATTTTCCTTTGTGATTTTTTTTTCTGTGACTTTTTTTCCTAGTAAAATCTGTGACTTTTTTCTGTGACTTTTTTTCCGCTCCCAACGCCCCCCACCCTATGACCTTCCTCGCATGTTTCAATTTTTTAAAAATTCGACCGTATCGTACCCCGCCTTTTCCTCCCCCCCCCCCACCCCGCTTGCTAAAATGCATACTAGGTAGGCCTATACATGCGGTATGGTGAAAATAAATTGACATTTTAATCTAACCAGAATTGAATTCCGACACAGAGTACGTTTTATCTCTAATCGCTGCCTGGTCTATGCAATTAGAATAAAAATTTGTTTTAAGTCTAGATAGTACATCGTCCAAAAAGGAAAAGATAAAATAAGATATATCATAATTTTATCGATCTAACGATCAGCGCGATATAACGGATTCAGCTAAGTAGCCGGAATTTATACACTTTGATCGCGTGATCGATATCAGCTGGAGCAGATTATAGTGTCTAGTAGCTTATTTGGGAACAAGAGAACAAGATTAAGTTATTATAACAAACAGTTTGTTAAGCTATGGAAATATATTTGTCATCAGAAATTTTTTATGGTTGAAAGCAAATTGGGTTCAAACGAAAAATTATAGCGCTAACAATCCCTCTCCACCCACACAAACACTGCATGAAACTCCCAAGTTCAAATCCACCCGTAACCCCCCTCCCCACTCCATTTATGATCGACCTTAACCCAAAGCGTGCCATATTTCTTAAGTTTGAGAAAAGTCTGGATAAAGGCGTCAAGCCCGCGTGTAGACAGGCGCCATACTCACCGACCTCTTCTTTTGTAGGATTAGTACATCAATCGCTACAGATACAATTTTCTTGTATAAGTTCTAGCATCGAACAGAGTCAGACAACCGAGATTGACTGCCCTTATATCGCTTCCATTTGTTTCTTTCCTTTATTGTCGAGAAACAGTTTTTGGTAAATACTGTTTACCTTGTTAATTTTAAATTTCTTCCGTTTATCAATTATTAGTAGACCATTTTCTAAAGCCAAATATTTTCACTACGGTAAAATAATTTTAACCATGCGTATTCAACAAATTCTTTTTTTCTTCAAAAAAGCAGTTTAGAAATGCAATATAAAATATGACTTTATTTAGCAGTTGAAAATGGGACTGTGCAACTGTTTTTCATTTCTTCTTCTTATTGTGGCTTCTGGTAAGTTTAAGTTAAACAACTAGTAAAAAATGTTTGCCATTGCATTTTAGTTTTAATTCCCAATGTTAGATATTTCCATGTGAAAATTCATGGAATGGATATTTACAATATTTTTAAACATTTCTTACAATAGATGCATTAATTTTTAAAATTCAATTCATGTAACTTTTAAATGTATATATATATATATATATATATATATATATATATATATATATATATATATATATATATATATATATCCTATGTATGTAGGCTATTTTCTTTTTTCTATCAAACTGTATTTTATTTTACAGTTGTTGTGACCGCAGGTAATGTTTTTTTAACGTATTTTATCGAATCGTTAAGGGCTTTGGTTTCACATATTTTAATATCTATTTAAACAACATACATATTGTCTTATGCAATTTATTAAATGTTCATTAAAACAATTTCTATTTGACTTTTTTTTTCAAATGCGTTTATTGCTGCTAAAAGTATCTTTGCAATTTTTGTTTTTAAGAAATTAATGAAATAACAATTTTAAAACACAATATATGTTTCGTTATGTATTGTTTTATTATTAAATAACTTTTTAAAAGGAAACAGAAAAATGTAGGCTTATTTAATTATTATAAAATTAAAAAAAAACGATAATATGTTATAATTCCGTCAGTAGCATTGATATACTGCATCAATAGGTAATGAACACAAAAAAACAAGTTTAGTGTATATAGTCCGAAAAATTATATTTAAAAAGTATGCTATCATATAAAGATTTTAAATGTATATTCTTTTCCTGACCATATTTGGACTTTAATTAACCTTTTGTTACACAATACTTCACATTTGCTCCTTCCTATAACCGTCGGTACATTTTGATTTAACGTGAATGGTTTAATTTTAAAGCTGGAGTCTCCTTATTTTAGAATATTACGTCTTTCGTCCAGTAAACTTTTAAAAAAAATAAATATAGTTTAAGAAGTTTTTAAAAATTCAACTGTTCTTTATTTATTTAATTAGACTTACTTTTTTATTTTAAAAATTGTTAGCAAATTTAAAATTTTAACGCATTCGTCTTTTTAGTTAAGCGATTTTAAAGTTGTTTTTTTTTTAAAAATATAATACATATTGTGTAACAATAGCTAGTTAAAATATCCTAAGGTCAATGCTAAACATTTTATAATATTCCGATGTCTATTTAATTAATTGAATACCGTAGAAAGTGCTTGTTTGATTATAGTGAATATATTTAAATATTCTTATTTAACATGAGCAGAAGACAGCGACAGTTGGCATCTGCTGAAATGCTCAGTGGATGGCGATAAATAGTATATATTATTATTAAAAATAAAAACACTAATAGATAAAAGTAGATATTAGGCCTACATGATTGTTTGCAGATAAATTGGATGTTTAATTGTAGTAATGCCAAATCTAAAGAAGTATCGAAATGTAATAATTAATAATAAATCGATTTTTCTGTATAAAATATCTAACATCACTAAGGTAGGACTTGTCAGAGAAAAGAAATCTGATGGTAAACCTTAAAAAAATTATAGTTTTTAAATCAATTTTAATTTTGTTGTGCTTAGAGATTGCAAGTCAAATTTGTATTATATAAATTGTGTGTCTATTTACAGAATACCTAACATCACCAAGAGTAGGAATTGCTAGGGGAAAGAAAACGGCGGGTAAACTTTGGAAATATCTAGTTTTTAGATCACTTTAAATTATTGTGTGGTTTAGTTAATGATTGCAAGTCGATTTTGTACAATTTTAAATATTTTTATGAATATTCAAATTTTTGTTCCGGTAAAAACACTAAATTTAAGACTACAAAACTCCCTAAAATCGCGTGTTTTTACCGGATCCAAAATTCGAAAATTCATAAGAAATTAGTTTGAAGATCTGTACTTAAAAGTTTTAGCTGAGTAACCAAAAATATGGTTGAACAGAATGAATTTATTTTTATCAGGCTTAAAATATAATATTTTATAAATGGTGGAAATCCTACGAAGAGGTTAATTTTTTCAAGAAGGCCGCCGTTATCATAGTTACCAAAATTTTTCCACCTTTTTTTTAGTGGAAACGCATATACGGATATACCTTTATATAGGTATAGAGAAATAACTGTTTGCTCACTTTTTTTTTACCGGCGCCTAGCTTTAGAATCACACTTTTGTGTAATATAAAACACTAATAGAACTACGGAACGACTAGAATTATAGTTATGTTTACCCCGCCTTCGCGATATTTGGAACATAATTAGTATATAGTATATACTGATAATAAAAAGGAAAACCAAAGAAAGTTTAGACATATTTACATACAGACAGCGAAAGAATTTGAATAACTACAGGATGCAAGTGATATATATTTGTAATGGGTGTATAGTTAGATGTCACAAGTTTATTTTGCTATTTTATTAACTAACATTGATTGTCGCTCCTAGAATATTCAGAATTTAAACTTTTAATCTAAAAGTTATATTTAACCCTGCTGTGCAATAGTCAATTACATTGTTTAAGATAGCGATTTCATTTACATTCATTTACAACCCATTTTGTATGTATTAAATTTAATCGTAGTTTGGGTTGTGTGTGTATGTGTAGGGAAACGGGTGTGTGTCAAAAGACAAAAAATTAATAGTCGTGCTGTTGCCTAAGGAAATGTTACATTACGTTACAGGGTTGGGAGGTGCTTTAAAGGGAACTTGACATTACTCCGTCCCGTTATGTTTAGGGTTCATTTTACCATCCTCATTACAACAAATCAACTACTTAAACACAAACAAATGTACAGCTATTGTTCTACTGATGTGTCAGCCACCCTCATCCAGACACGTACACACACACACATACTTACATTCACACACACACACACACGTGTAGGCTGTAGCATAATAATTTGCTTGATCGAAAAATATATAGATTTGTAAATTTTCAATGTGGTTTTACCCCAATCTACTTCGGTTTACGGTGTATTTGGTGTCATCCCCTTCCCTAGTCGATAACGGCTAGAATATATATATATATATATATATATATATATATATATATATATATATATATATATACAGAATATATATACTGATGTTATATATATATATATTGTATGTGTTCTCTCTATATCTGTGTGTGTGTTTGTGTGTGTGTGTGTGTTTAAAACGGAAGAAATTGAGAGTAAGAACGCACGTTGTTCAATATATTGAAATAAAACTTGAGTAACTCAGCACTCTCGACGCCACTTTGTTACAACACATATTTCTAGTTATTAATTTTATTTTAAATAATCTTTCTCACGTAGACAATGATATCTTCCTTGCCGTCGCCATGGCTGACCAAAGCGCTGAACAGAGCCTGGAAAGTAAACATGACCTTGACCTGAGCCAGGTGAAGAAAGACGTCAAGGTGGACTCGGCTAGTGCGGAACGTAAACAGATTGGTGGTTGTCCAGATTATGTTTCCTACCTGCTCTGTTAGATGGACTCACGATGACCTGACACTGAATGCAGAACTATGATATCATAAGCAATAAATTATTTAATTGACAGTGTATATGTTTTGTTTTTTATTTCATGTTATCATTTAAATTTAAAATATAATTAGGTTTATAAAAGTTTTGGTCACCTGGCGGAATTATTTGCTGATATATGAACCAAATTATATTGTGTAATACAAGAAACACTACATGATAGAAACAACAATTATATTTTATTTATAAACATAAGTGGCAAAGCCAGTTGCAAGTTCACATTTCTAATATGTATTATTTGATAGACTGAACTCTGAGCATCCAACTGATGGTCTCCAAATGTTGAGGGGCAATTTTTAAAATATATTTTTGAGAATTATCAACCAATTATTTTCTTTAAAATATCAAAACACTAATAGGATTATTACAACATCATATCTGGGAACCGGGTGTCCACATAGCGGGTACTCCTGCGGGCGGGGGGGGGGACGAAAAACATCTATGGTCAGCCCCCCCCCCCTCTTTACTCCAAATATCGTTGTTTGATTTTGGAGTGAGTTACCTCTCCTGGATAAATTGCTGTCCCCAGCTATTGAGCCTCATCTACCTGAGGGTTCGAAATCGAGACTTTTAGCAACCATGAGCTTTATCGACTCGACCACGCCGACCCTGTAAATGTGGGAGCAGTGTTTCTTCCAGACTTTTTTCTTCGGGGTTGCACTTGAAATTTTCCGGGGGGAGGACAACAATTTCCGTGGGGGGGGGGGGGGGGGGGCAGGGGGGTTAAGCGTACACTGTCAAAAGTATATATTTTCTATATATTTTCATTTCGTTCGGGGGAGGGGGGTATAATTTCTTCGAGACGGGCCGTGCCCCCCCCCCCCCCCCTCCGATGAGATGCCTGGAAGAAACTCTTCGTGGGAGTAGGCTCGACGGCCCTAAACTCCGCGTGCGAAACCCTATCGAATGTGATTAAGCGTAAGAGAGACATTCAGCCCCCCCCCCCCTCCCCTTAAATACAGCGAAACCCTTTCAAATGTGGTTAAGAGTAAGAGTAAGAGAGACATTCAGCCCCCCCCCTCCCTTAAATACACCCGTGTTTTGCGTCTCATCTGACTAGCTTCTCTATCTAGACTGGACAGTGTGTTTTGTGTACCCGTGTTGGTCAAGCCTATGATATGATTCACCGCTACGACAGATGACCAACGATCTGTGTGCTAAAATAACGTACATAAAGTGAGGTGGATCAGAATGCGGTGGGTTGTAGGCAAGGCAAAATGGAGGTATAACCGTTTTAGCGTAACACTGATGTTGGTTCACGGCAGTCATTGCTCAATAATATTTCACCAGTCTAACTGCGAGTAAAGCAATTGAGTAACTTGTTAACAAGTAATACCATATTATTAGATATTTCTATAAAACGAAACAGCGGGTTAGGCGAATCTAGGTTACAATAGGCTGATTACTTTGTTAAAATAAATACCATGACTCATTTCAACATAACAACTAAGTAGGCCTATTTTATTAATATTACCACGTCTTAACTACAACAAACTGTTATTGTTTAAAAAATAAAACAAAATATATTCTTTCAGCACCTTATTATTTTAAAAAGCTTGTTATTGCTTCCATACTCATTGCCGATTAAAAGATTACTTTGTTTCACAACATTATTCTGCAACTGCCAGCTTGGAGATATTCTTGTATGAAATGGAAGAATGAGCCTAATTTAATTAGTTATTTAAAAACAAAAGTATTCACATACATGTTTTAAATATCGTTGAACCTTAAACTTTCAGGGTTCTTTTAGGGAACAAAAGACGATTTTCTCATTAATCTCTGTACTCTTTCTTGGTCTGCTCTAAGTAGATCAGCTCCCGGCAGCCCAGTCCAATCTATGATGCCATCCAACCAATATTATCTCCTCCTTTTCTTTTTCCGACCCCCTGCCCTGGATTGTTGTTTTGGAATGGTCGTTGGCACTAGGGACATGACCCAGCAGTCTCAGTTTCTTTGTTTTGATAATGCTTAGTATTGTGAAATAAGTTTAAAGTTCGGGTCGACACTTGAATACAGTACGGATACCAATTGATACACTCAAAATGTGATTTTATCTTATTTCGGGTTGAGACACATCATAGGTACCGTTGGGCAGGCCGTGAGCGGATAAAAACAAACATTTCCTAAACCCACCTTTTATGATTTAGATAATCTTAAGGCATATACTGTGACTTACATCCTAATAGCTGCTATGGTACATAATTTTGTGTACTGTATACTACATAAATTTGTGTAATATATGCTACAGAAATTTGTGTGCTATATGCTACAGAAATGTGTGTACTATATACTTACCAAATCGTAGCGGTCAATAAACGCTGTTTTGTTTAAACACCAACCTAACACTCGGTTTTTAACTCTATAAAAAGAAATTGGGGTGGTACGAAGTGAATGATTTTTCTTTTACTCTAGAATGATCAATCACGGGAAAATTGGAGAATTTAAGGTAGTTAGGTTAATTCTTATTAGAAACTTAAACGATACGAACCGTCACAGGGCTTAAACCTCTCGCAAATTACGAATCTATTTCCTTTCTTTCTAACTGGTATGCGATCAACTGCTGAAATACTGATGTTAAGCTATTCAGTCGGCAAAAGGAATAAGTAGAAACGTTTGATGCCCAGCGTTTGGCCGTAACACACATGTTTCCACTAAGTGGGAATTTCTTTCATCGCATGAAGCACCGTAGTGTGGTGAAGAGAATGGAGGAGTGAGGTGGGTTAAAAAAATACGGCATAAATTATGACCTTGAATAATTGACCTTCATGTCGATCATCGTGCTCTGTTGATTAACAAAATGATCGCAACAAAGTAACCCCTTCCAAATCTCAACAGAACATTGAATCACCAGTTCATTAAATATTTAAATTTTCAGGTTTAAAATAAAAATTGGAAGTTTGTATTATGAATAAATAAAACGGTTTTAATGAATGTATTTATCCGAAAGAAGTATTACTATTGTAAATCTGTATCAGTCCTTACAAGCCGATGATGAAAACTGTAAGACTAAAACTGTAAACTATGTGTCTGAGGTAAAAATTGAGATTTGTTTTTTTTGCTTGTGGTGGCGTAGATATACAGTAATTACAGTTTTTACTATGAAATAAAGTACTTAAAATATGCATTTCTTTTTTTAAATCTGAATTTTATTTTGTCTGCAAATTAATTAAAGTACGATCGAAATTGCATTTTAAATGTTTATTTTAATCAAAGTTTTGACATTGACTTATTAGATATTTGACAAAACTGTCATTTAGATACGGGGACGACACTTATACAGAGAGGGGGGATAATTTGGGGGTAGACTGTAGGTATCACATTCCAGAACCTGTCTTGTATCCAGGTCAGAGTGTTCTGATTCCCGTAGCAGATTTCTTTCTACCGGCTGGTCAACGTCCTTTGGTCCAGCGGCTCTCTGGTCAGCAAAGACAGCAGAGAGGAACAGGAACATGACGACCAAACATACAGATTTCATTTCCTGGGGATAGAAGTACAATTATATGAATTAATCAATGTATGGTATGCTTTTTTAAACCTGAATACAATATACAGTATATTATAATAATATAAAACAGTAACATAAAATGAGATAAGACCCGAAGACGTGACCTGTAAGTTGTCTTCAAATAGACTAAATACACCTGGGGACAAGTGGAGAAAATAGCCTACAGAAAAGCATGTCAGCTCTCTATAGCCCTGGAGAAAGGACATGCTAACCACCTAACTTGACTGTACTTAAATTGACGGCTGTAAATCAAAACTGATTTCATATAGTCCGACAAGTCTATAAACATTAAGCATCCGCTATATTTTTGTTCAACATTAATACATGGTGTTTTTTTTAAACAACGTGATATTTTAGAAAAAAATGGAGATCATCGTTTTTTTAGGTGACAAAAAATAAGCATATTAAAATCCTAATAATACTAAAGCTCATGGTTGCTAAACCCAAAATCTCGAGTCCGAAACCTCAGGTAGATAGTTTCGATAACTGGTGACATAAACTCTTCATAGAGAGAAAACTTGTAGTTTGTTCTTTGATGGACAAAGACTATGGAAGGAATACAAAAAGATAAGCAAGCTGAGATCGGATTCAATTTGCATAGGTTGACACGTAATACTTTAGTTCAAAACTTGAATTTAAGAAGCTGTCCCTTAAGTAGATTTTATTAAAATTCTTCATTTTAAAATATCACCCTAAGATGTTATCCTTTCAGTCACCCCACCCACAATTTTGCACATATAGCGATAAACATCCAAACACTCATCGCTCTTCATCCCACCTCCTTTGCACATATAGCGATAAACATCCAAACTATCATCGCTCTTCATCCCACCTCCTTTAATCATGCATGGATATGACTTATTTATAGACCCTTAAAACAAAATAACTTATGATGTATAAATAGGCATAACCATGTGTACAAACAAATTGTATGGAAAAAATATAAATTATATATATATATATATATATATATATATATATATATATATATATATATATATATATATATATATATATGTGTATATATATATATATATATATATATATATATGTAGGCTTTTTATTGTATACAATAAATACATTGTTTGTCTGTATTAGTATTCTAAAATGAATTTAAAAACGTGTATGCATGGGTTTTTACTCATTACCTTTGTATAGCTGAACTGGTTTTGTTGCAACAAAGAAAAAACAATAAATACAACGTTTTACTGTATTAGTTTTCTAAAATGAATTTAAAAACGTGTATGCATATGTTTTTATACTCCTTACCTTTGTAAAGCTGAACTAGTTTTGTTGCAACAAACAAGAGACTACTTGCCCCTGTGTATGACTGTAGGCCTACACCTTGTTTTAAAACGGATTCAGCTAAGTAGCCGGAATTTATACACGTGATCGATGCCGATTATAGTGTCTAGTAGCTTAATTGGGAACAAGAGAACAGGATTAAGTTATTAAGGTATAATATTTTAGGTTATCATTATGTATGTTTCTTTCATACGTTTTTTTTTCGGTGGGGGGGGGGGGAATTCTTTTGATACTTTTCGTTATGAAGGGTGGGGGCGGTCTAAAATTTCCGAGGGTGAGAAAATTGTGAGCACTTTGCGTTTATGTTCGCGTTAGTGTTTTCTTTGTGTTTAGGTTGGGTTTGCGTTAGTGGTTGCGGTTTGATTTGGTTCATTTTTGTTCTTTCTTTTTTCGTTTTTGTTTGTGTTTTTTTCTTTGGGTTTGTATTTGTGTTTTTGGTTGGTTTTGCGTTTGGATTTGGTTTGTTTTCGTTTGCTTTTTCGTTTTTTTGTGTGTTGTTATTGGTTGGTATTGGTGTTTGTGGTTGTGGTTGAGTTTGTTGTTAGGTTTTTGTTTTCGTTAGCTTTTTTGTTTGTTTTTTCTTTGTGTTTGTATTGGTGTTTGTGGTTGTGGTTGGGTTGGTTGTTAGGTTTTTGTTTTCGTTTGTATTTGTAATTGTGTTAGCGTTATGTTTGCGTTTTGTTGTTTTGGTTTTGGTTGGTTGTGGTTTGGGTGGGCAATGCCGGGTTTATGATGATTACTAAACACACAGGTGATGGTCTTTAACATAAAGGTTTTTCACAGAAGCCAGAGCAGGGCCTGGCCGGGACGGCTAGTACTTTATAAATTTACATGCATTTTTTGAGAAATCGAAAATAGCGTAAATTAGTACTTCCGGTCAACGGAAATTACTCAAAATTTGACAGAAGGTAGAGAATTAGATCTTTTACTTACATTTATCTATCTGAAATAGTACTCAAGTTATAGGCTTTTGAAAATTCAAAGTAGAAAAAGTACCATTTTCGGTTATCGGAAATCGCTCAAAAGTTGATCAGGATCTACGATTTTGATAAAATACTTATATATGAAATTTCATCAACCTAGCTTTAACGGTACTCAAATTATCGTGTTTACACACAGACAGAGAGACACACAGACACACAGACTTACGGACAGGATTGCAAAATTATGTTTTTCCGTATCAGTGAGTTTTAAAACGTCGAAATTTGTAAAAATCTCGATTTTTTTTTGCACGATTACAAGACTTTCTCTATACGAGAAAGTAAAAAATGCAGGCTGAAATCGGAGTCAATGAATGGCGCATAAACAGTTGACGCGTATTTTTAATTGTATTGGAGGGGGATCCCTTCCAAGACAAAAATTAAGAACGAAGAAGAAAAAGAAGTATCATTTACATACTAAACATTTTTTGTAACTCATATTTTTTATCAATGTTCCTAAGTATTTTCAAAGTCTAATACATTCTTATGTAGCATACTCTTGTAGTTAACGTTGTGTTTATTAAGTAGCTTATAATTTTACACAGGCAGTACACTGCGGGCATTGAGTTGACCCGTGTTCGTTGGATTGATAAGTAAGTTTACATGCTGTAAACCCTTGCAAAGACATGTGTTCATCAAACCTGGCTTTCATCATTGATTCTTCTTACTGTTACTAGCTACTAAATGTGAGTACCACTTTTAGAGCTCACCCTACACGTGACTTAGTTCACGTGACTGTAGACTACTCCATATTTTACTATACACTTACTTAATTCCCGGTAGAGAAGTTGCTCAGAACCTTTTATTAGTTGAATCTTATTATTTTCAGTATTACGGTACAATTATTCTTTTTACCATTAACAATCAGGTCTTAGAGTATTCATCATATATCAAACACAAACTAATAACGCCCGCTATCCAGATTGTAGCATCGTAAAAAATACACGCAGCGATTAGTAAATATACACTTCAATAAGAACGTAATGTGTTCTTAATCCAGGAGTTTAGCCTTAAGGCTAAAATTGAAACACGTGGTGTTAGATTGTGTATTGGGATGTCTTTGAAAACAAATCTTTTTACATGTTATATTTTAGTAAATCTTTGCAATATTGTATACATTTAAAAGCAGGGCTTCTAAAGTGGTATTAATGCATGGGTGCTATCCATTGTGAGTGTATTCTACATGCAACCATGTGTTTCCCACTTTATAAATTTTCAAATAATGATCAGTTTCTTCCAGGCATCTCTTCGGGGGGGGGGGGGGGGAAGGGGGAGAGGGGTGGACGAAAAACGTCTACGGTCATCCCCCCCCCCCCCTCCTTTCAAAGATCGAATTGGAATTTATATAGAAAATATAATTTTACCATTGTTCTCCCCCTCGGAAATGTTAGACCGCCCCCACCCTCCCTAACGAAAAGTATCAAGAGAATTCTCCCCCCCCCCCCCCTCACCGGAAAAAAAACGTCTGACAGAAACATAAATAATGATCACCTAAAATATTATACCTTAATAACTTAATCCTGTTCTCTTGTTCCCAAATAAGCTACTAGACACTATAATCTGCTCCAGCTGATATCGATCACGTGATCAAACTGTATAAATTCCGGCTACTTAGCTAAATCCGTTTTAAAGCAAGGTGTACAGTCATACACAGGGGCAAGTAGTCTCTTCTTTGTTGCAACAAAACCAGTTCAGTTTTACAGAGGTAAGGAGTATAAAAACGTATGCATACACGTTTTTAAATTCATTTTAGAAAACTAATACAGTAAAACGTTGTTTTCCAAGCACTTATTGTATACAATATATATACAGCCTACATAATATATAAATATATATATATATATATATATATATATATATATATATATATATATATATATATATATATATATATATATATATATTATAGATACTTTTTTCCATACAATTTGTTTGTACACATGGTAATGTCTATTTATACATCAGCAGTTATTTTGTTTGACATAGGGGTCTATAAACAACATTGTACGTCTACCTGAGTCTCTGTGAGTCTATATTTTTGGTAAGTTTAGTCTGATTAGTCGTGGTAGAGGGAGGTGTTCGCAGGTTGGAGTATTTGATAACTGTAACATAATCTAATCGTTTTGTTGTTCTCAAACGAATTCAGTGGGTTAATCGAATGATTTGATTATAAAGCATTTTGAAATATTTTGTTCTAGATCAAACTAAATTTATTTTTAAAAAACTTATTTGTAAATATGCAAATGTACCATAACAATGAAATTAGAAAATTATTTTAAAAATATGCAAATTTAAAAGTTAATCTTTCAATGTGGAATACAATTTGCTTGTTTAAGGTTTTTGAAATCGCTGATGTTTTAGATCAAGATGAAATTTTTTCTCCACGAATCAATTCTAAAAATGTCTATATTAACAAACAAGATTTTGATTGCAACTAAATATTCTTAAACAAACCATTAAGCGCTTTAAAATGGTCTGTCATTTCATTGTTGATAGACAAATTAGGTGATCTAAATTAACGTTAATTTCAAAACTGTTTTTAATTTTCTATTTAAATATAGCTGTTTTTGTACTACAAGAAGGCTATTTCGTTTTACATTGTATTTTTTTTTATTAGATTCAAAATACTTTAGCGAATTTTTTTAAAAATATAAGCTGTTTTTCTTCTAGAAAATGAAAGCTGTCGTGATTGCCTGTCTGCTGTTTACCCTGGCTGTTGTTGTGGCCGACCAAGTCGATGACGTGCCTGCGGTCAGAGAGTTGCAGGAATCAAAGAGAGTTGTTCCAGTAGAGGCGGCCAGTGCTGACGTGGACCGTAAACAAATCAACGACTGTGAATTTAGGCCGTGGGAGCGTCAGTGTCGTTAGGTCAACATGTCCAGTCGAGGATGACCTAAGATTTAAAAATTGGACACATCCTAAACTAATTGTTATCCAATTATAATTAATTAAAACAATATGAATTGCTAGTAGTAAGAAAGTTTCAATAAATATTTTAAAAAGACAACGTACTATGTAATAAATTAATATCTTTGTTGTACCTGTATATTCTGTTTAAATGTATTTACATAATCGTTCACATGTGGTGTTTTTTATGTTACTCATGCGCATGCGGTGTATTTTTTTATTGCATTAGGGTCTAGGTACAGACAGCATGAAGTCCAACAAAATATCAGACATAAAATCTATTGCAAGGTTGGCGTTTTATTGTAGGGCTGTCTTTAAAATTATAATATGTTTCAGTTGATGGTTGAGAAATGTGTTAAAATATCCTATAAATAATCAAGATTCTTGTATATCAAGGCTTGATTTAAAATATACTTTGACCATAGAAAAAAGTTAACCAGTATTCTGACAATAGAGACTATATGTGTCATTTTGATCTTAGTGATATATGTCTTGCTGTACTCAGTGTTGTTTATATCTATTTACTAGTCAAACGATATACAATTATAATTACGACAACTAGGGGTTCTGTTCTAAAAGTGTATAACCTAATAGAAGAGGTTGACGGTGGTGACGAGAAAAGGCTGGTAAATTCCAGAATACCCTTACCACAGTATACAATTATTCTGCTGATTCAATGATTTCTGGTTTAATTTTAATTATCTTTGAGTTAACCGGTTTTAAACTTGAAAACCACATATCATGACCATAATGAATCATAGATAAGTAATTAAACATGAATTCACAAAAAAATCATTAACTTACAATTATGAAGAAAGGATTTAAAATTTAAAAAAAAAATCGTTTTTATCTCTTAGCAAAGGTTTATGTAATTAAAGCCATTAAGCGTATATTTGTTTGCTTTAGATGCGGCCACAAACTCAAGTCAAATTACTTAAGAGGACCTAATAATTAACGTTCGTGTAACAATGTTGTGAAACAAATAACATAAAATATTTTTTCTACTCGATACGTGAATGTAACAGATGTTGTTGTTATATCCGACTGGTAGATAAGACAACGGTCACAATCAATTCAATAATTAAAACATTTGGTGAAGTTAGATAATTTAACAGTAAATATTTAAATCAGAGAACAGTGACCTTTGTGTCACCACGTGATGGTTTATATCTCGTCTGTGTCACCCTAGATGAATGGGAAAAGAAACAGTGGCGGACGTTTATTGCAGTTAACTCAGCCTGGACTAGCACTGATGGGTCAGTGGTTGTTGACATGAAGAACGGTCAAGAACTTTACTTTGAAGTAGACTACGCTGATGAAGAAGCAAAGTTATCCACTGTCAGTAATTTTACTATCATTAATGTATAGAAGCACAACAAAAAAAATCTATAAATACTTAGAATAATAAAAAATGTAACAACCGTTTAAAAAAGAGTACGCTGTAATGTTTTGTATATTTATCTCAAGTCGACACAGTTTATATGTTTTACACCATGTCTTTAACCCTCAATACACATCTCAAAGCAATCACATAACATAGTTTAGTTATAAATAAAGCAAACGACAGTGTTAGTACTGTTTTATTTGAGATATTAAAATAAAAAGGATATAATTAAATATTTAATTTCAAGTGCTTGGAAACATGTTGAATTATTAATGGCTCAATATGGTTGTTCACGTAATTGTTATGCATGATAAGTGTGCCAATAAGTTTACTTTTTAGAGCTGTAGGCTAAAAGGGTTATATTTTGATTGAATAGATCTATTTGTGCAAAGTGAATGCTTTATACCTATTGGTAATTATAGGAATCGTCATATTAGACTCAACTGTAGTGCTATTTTGAAGCACGTGCTTAATGTGTATAGTTTTGTTGATTTTTTTCCTTAATTACTGTGCGTTTCCATTATTTCTTAAAATTATGTTGCTTTTGTTTCTTTTTTATTTGGTTTAAAATGAAAAAAATAATTTCCAACTAAACATTAACTGCTTCTGAAAAGAAAACTGAAAATATTCACGGAAAATTCCGGTATTACCTAACACTTCTTGGAATGAATTTAGCAATTAAAAAAGCGGCCATGTTGTAAGATTGTAGCTGTGTACCTTTCCCAGGCTAAAGTAAAAACGTGAAGGTAAGGCCTAATTGTATTTAAGAATGTGATTTTCTAACAAAAAGTAAAATAAAATAGTATCCGTGATAAGAGGTACGCAAGCTAGCTAGTTTATAGTTCCTTGTATTTTTATATTATAAAGTGTAAAACACAATCTTGACATGACAGTGTAGCTGATACAGAATGGATGTTGTTCAACTTCAATAGTTGAGTAATAGAGTTGTTTCTCCAAAATTATTTTTAAAAAAAAAACGTAATTTTACTACCTGAAATTACTCAAAATTTGACAGAAGGCAGAGAATTAGATGTTAAATTTAGTTTATCGATCTGAAATAGTAGGCCTACTCAAGTTATAGACTTCCGGTTATCGGAAATCGCTCAAAAGGTGATAAGGAACTACCATTTTAATGTAATACTTATATTATGAAATTTCATCAACCTAGTTGTAACGGTACTCAAATTATCGTGTTTACAGACATACACACACATACACACACATATATAAACATACACAAAGACATAATACGGACAATATTGCAAAATTATTTTTTTCCGACTCAGGGAGGTGTAAAACGTCCAGATTTGTAAACATCTTTTTTTTGCACGATTACAATACTTTTTCTATACTCTGTATATACGAGAAAGCAAAACCGACTATCTTTTAAAACCTGCTATGATTCTGTAAATATTAACACAACTCATTTTAAAACGCTACAGCATACTCGGAATTGGTATAGAGTTTTTTAGCACGTATCATTATTATTTTTTTTTATAGAAGCGATCAACAATAAAATAACTAGCTTTTTGTCTCCCCTGTAAAATTTACATTTTCGGAGTTCGACGGGTTTGCGTTACTGACATCAAAGAAATAATGTAAGTGGTAAAAACCTACAAATCTAAGATATATGCTTTAAGTTACAAATATGAATATGGCGGTTACGTTTTCAGGACAGTAAATGGTGTTGGCCCTACTCACAATGAATAATAACGGTTAATATATGTTATTATTTAATCACGTTATTATATGAGACACAGAAATCAAGCCAGTGGTTAACACAGTCGAGATACATTTCTTTTTCAAGATGCGTCCAAGAATTCAGGCCAAGCTAGTTACAGAGCATATGCGATATTTGGAAGAACAGATAGGAGTTATGGAACCTGTCATGAAAGCTATGAAAAGTGTAAGACAAATACGCGAATGTACATTTTTAATATACAGTAATTCAATGTAGGTTTGTTGAATTATGTAGCTGGCTGGTTAGAAATAATATCGGTGCCTTTTAATTTTTTTGTAAAAACGCTTTAGATTTTTCTTACATTTTTTAGAAAATACATGTAAATTGAATACAATACGTATCAATTTAAAATCAACAGGCAATGAAAAAAAGCAAGACCTGGTTAGAAGATACACAAGACGACAGGTCATTGACCTATCTCGAGTTACAACAAGTGTTGGACACAGCCACCCAGGATTTCTTGGATTTATCTTCAGCATTAATACGTTTGTTTAGACATTATATATTTTATTAAAAATTTGATAGTGCAATACATTTTATATATAAATAATATATATTTGAATCAATCGACGTAAGCATTAAGAATTTCAGTACCAATGTTAATGTTGCTAAGTAGAGTTTAATTAAACGAGTGCTCCATAGGTTTGCAATTGCATCACAGACATATAAAAACGATGTAACTTTCAAAATGCTGTGATATATGCTCTTAATATTATTGAAAAATTATTAATATTTTTCCCTTTTTTATAACATTTTTAGAAACAGATCAAAGCAACGACGTTCAAGATGATACGGAACGCGTTCACTCGGTCACATATACAGCGTCAACTGTAAATCTGGCTTCGAGACAATCCCTAATAGAACTTCCAACAGGTAAAAAAAATGTTGCGATAAGAAAAGTTACAAAGGTTAAGAATATAGATGTATTTGTATGTCTCGAATTTAATTAAATATGTATAACTAGATACGTTTTACCTTTTTTTCAAATGCACATCTATCTATATAATACTAAAACTCAAGTTTGTTTACCTGTTTGCATTTTTTTTGTCCGTTTGGTTACACTATGTGTAGAGCTGTGAAATACGTAGTTGGGTAAATAATAATGTTATTTTTGACCAAACTGTTTATCACAAATTAATTTAAAGACGCTAGATTAACCACATTAATTATAAAAGTTCAGAACAATGACTATACTTATAGTGATATCACATGATTTATTTACTTTTTATAACAATGATGGCGGCTTCCATTGACGATTTATTTGCCCATTCAAAAATATATTATAAAGCTAATTTTCTATAGGCTATAGCCTTAACGATGCGTCCGTTTGCTGTTTTTATTAGGTTCCAAAACTATTATCAATTTTCAACAATTTGAATATACATTAAATTTCTCTAGATCTTCAGATCAGAGGTTGGACGAAGGGAAAGTCAATCCTAGATTTAAAATCTTGAATATAGTTCAAACAAAAATTAATTAGTTAAAAATAAAATCAATTATAAAACAATTAAACTGTTAATTTTTTTTATAAAACTATGTTAGTCTTTAAATATTTGATATACATCTTTGCTTTTTACCTTCAAGGATCGTCTAATTCGTGAATACATGTGATTTATCTATCACTAGGTTCTAGATCTATTCTATATTCTAGATCTAGAAAAAACTAGCCTTAAGCAAGCTAACCGTAATCTACTTCTGATCTAGATCTAGATTTATGTTAATAATGAGTTTCTAAACTAAACTATTTCAGGCCTTAATTATTTTTATAAACCCTTTTTGTTTAGCTATGAAATTGGCTGATTTGGGATAAAATTTATTTTGAATTAATACTAGATCTAGGGCCTATTGCGTAACTTACGTTTCTTACGCGGACTATATTAGATCTACATGTACCGCTAATTTTTCGCATGATTGTAACTTCCAAGATAGCCGAGTTGATAGTGTAATAGCTACCTATG